CCGGGCTGGGGATTCGAACCTGCCACCTTAGGTATATGTGGCTGGCGCCTTAGCCGCTTGAGCCACAGGCATCAAGCCTTTCTTTGCTTTCTTAAGATGAGGGAGTTTGAATACACAGGAGAAAGAGCAAGACAGACATAGCTCATGGCTGTTGAAGGGGCTGGGTTTTTTTTGTTTGTTTTTGTTTTTTTTTTAGAGACAGAGTCTCACTTTATTGCCCTCAGTAAAGTGCCATGGCCTCACAGCTCACAGCAACCTCCCAACTCCTGGGCTTAGGTGATTCTCTTGCCTCAGCCTCCTAAGTAGCTGGGACTATAGGGGCCCACCACAGCGCCCAGCTATTGTTCTTGTTGTTGTTGCAGTTTGGCCAGGCCCAGGTTTGAACCCGCCACCTATAAGGGGCCAGCTCCCTACCCACTGATCCATAGGCACCACCCCAAGGGACTGGTCTCAACAAGGAGTCGAAACCCTTTCTGTCAGAACAGGAGGGAAGGAGGAGCACATGGGGGAGCTACAAACACCTGTACGTTGCGGGTCTCAGAGCAAGGGAGCTGAAGGGGTTCCTGGCAGGGGAGGGCTGAAGCCCCTCTTGAACAGAGAGTTCTGGAAGTCCCTAACCTTACAGGGAGAGCTGAGCCAAGCAGCCTTGGGTTTGAACTCAGTTCATCCTTCTGCCTACCAGGGGGCTTGAATCTTCCTCTCAGGCCTGCTGGATGGCAACAGGCCCATACCTTCCCATCCTCTGGTCACTTCTTCCCCAGTGGAAGGGGAGACCTGGCCCTCAGAGGCTATGGATTCATTCTGGAGTTCGCAGCATCTGAAGTAGGCTTGTCCCATTTGTGTCTTGCCTCTAGGCCCCCTCCGCATCATGGCCCTAGTCATCATGGTAGGCCTCACATGGATCATAGTCAGCATCCTCCTGGGTGGTCCTGGCAGCGGCTTTCCTCGCCTCCAGCAACTCTTCTCCAGTGAGTGTGGGACCCTCCTTGCCCTGCTATGGAGGTCACCAGGGTGGCTGCCTGGGCCTGCAGTTGACGCTTCAGGGATGAGGGGCTGGCTTGGGTTTTCTATCAGCTCTCTGGCAGGATCCCTCTGACTGTCCCCAGCCTAACTTCTGCCATCAAGTGTGACCTTTCCCAACCCCAGTGTCTCCAGCAGGGTGACCAACACTTGGTAATTAGAAATCCAGGGCTGACTGAAGTCATCAGGGTCAGAGTGAGGGGCAGGAGCTCCCACTGAACATGGGGAGTGATGCCCAAGTTGCTTCTGCCAGCTTTCTGCTGGGCTTTGAAATAGGGAGAAGACCCTACCCTTTGCTGAATGGTTATAGGTCACCTAAGTACTTTTTACAATTCCAATTCACCCTTTTCCTGGAGTAGGGAGTTTAACATCTGAACATCTTTTAGATTTTAGCATTAGTATGTCAAGGTCATCCTAATACTCCCCCTTGACTTTGAAGGGTAGGACCAGGCTTCCCTGTTGCAGGCTCTGGGAGGCTTTCACACTAACAGAAACAACTATCTGTATCCACAGGCCCAGAGAGCTCAGTGACTGCAGGTAAGGCTTCTGTCCTCTCACTGCTCATCCCCTGTGCCTATCACTCATATTACCTTTGTGACAGTGCTCCTAGTCCTCCAGGGTTTCTGTTCTCCATTCATTCCTCCCCACACTAGTTCTCACAGTGCACTGGGGTTGCATGCATGGTGTGAACCTAGAAAGCAAGTTGTCTGCTGCCAGAATGCAGTGGTGGGACAGGCATAGGATACAAACTGGAAGGAAAAAAAGAGGTCGCAAGTCCAAAACCCAACAGGGAAAATTCCATTACATTCAAGGCCTGAGAAGAATCCTCTGTGGCCTGATGCTCTGTCCTCTGGGCCTGCTGGGGAGACCCCATACAAACCAGGTGGCTTAAACAACAGAAATATATTTTCTCACGACTCTGGAAGCTGAAGTCTGAAGTCACGGTGCCAGTAGGACTACACACCCCTTGAAACCTCTGGAAGCAGCTCCTTCCTTGCCTCTCCCAGCTTCTGGTAGCCCCTCTATTCTCTGCCTCCTTTGTTGCACAACTGTCTTCCTTCTATGTCTGTCTCTTCTCTTGTTATAAGGAAATCAGTCATGTTGAATTAAGGGCCCAACCTACTCCAGTATGATCCCATCTTAATTTATCTGAAAAGGCCCTATTTCCAAACAAGGTCATATTTTGAGGTACTGTGGGCTAGTACTTCAATGTATCTTTGGTGGGAAAACAATTCCATCTGTAACAGAGGCTACCTCCCTGGGCCCCTCCATGCTCTCCTGGTTTGGCACACTTCCTTCTCTCTGGTCCTGCTATACACATCGTCCATAAAGTCCAACCCCAGCCTGCCTTTCTTCACCCCTGCTTTGTTCCCTTAGCAGCCTCCTTTCTTTATTTCTTTTTTTAAAAATTATTTTGCAGAGATAGAGTCTCACTTTATCACTCTGGTTAGGGTGCCATGGTGTCACAGCTCACAGCAACCTCCAACTCCTGGGCTTAGGCAATTCTCTTGCCTCAGCCTCCCGAGTAGCTGGGACTACAGGCATCTGCCACAACACCCAGCTATTTTTTTGCTGCAGTTTGGCGGGGCCGGGTTTGAACCCACCACCCTCGGTATATGGGGCTGGCGCCCTACTCACTGAGCCACAGGCACCACCCACCTCCTTTTTTTTCTTCCTGGGGTTCCTGTTACCTCACCAGCAGAACACAACATCTGTGGAAGTGCCCCTACCCTTTGGCCTGAGATATGTTCCCTATACACTGGTTCCCTTCCCTGTGGTCCCTTGTTCATCCCTGTGCGCTTGTCCTGACCTCCCCTTCTCAGATCTCGGGTGACCCCAGGGCCAGGCCCATGGGTCACACCTGCTATCTCTGCCCAGAGCCACGGGCTAAGAAGTACAAGTGCGGTCTACCCCAGCCATGTCCTGAAGAGCACCTGGCCTTCCGCGTGGTCAGTGGGGCTGCCAATGTCATTGGGCCCAAGATCTGCCTCGAGGACAAAATGTAAGCTTTCCTGGGATAAATGGGAGTTGGGGAGAGGCATGAGGAATTCTAGGCCAGGTCTGTGAAAGTGAGTAAAGGAGATTTTCCAACTGTTTACCAGGCTCATGAGCAGTGTCAAGGACAATGTGGGTCGTGGGCTGAACATTGCCCTGGTGAATGGTGAGTCACCCATGATCTGCCGCCCTCCTTCCCACCCACTACCCAGGAGGTTCCAGGGTATCTGTCCTCCCCTTCAGGAGCTCCCAGGGAGGCCTGGGAAGGAGTAAGCAAGCTGAAGGCTCCACAGAGGAATTGACTCAATAAACAAAAGTGTGCTAGCAGTAAAGAATTAGAAGGTTCTAGGAAGTTAGAAGGTAGTTTGTGGGGAGTCCCTGGAGGGTCTCAAATGCCAAACAGAGGCTCTGTGGCTTTGAGCGGGATATAGCCATCTGAACAAGAGGGATGTTTGCCAAGTTTCCCAAAGGATTGCACCCAGCAGGTGGCTCATCCTTCTTCCTTCCTCTTGACACAGGGGTTAGTGGTGAGCTCATCGAGGCCCGGGCTTTTGACATGTGGGCTGGAGGTGAGTTGCAGCCATAATCTCTTGCTTTATGACTCAGCCTCTTTGCCCTAAAATGCTGCTTTGTGTCCATGCACTCGTCCATGTGCTCCTCTGTATATTCCAGGCTTCTAACTTGCATCCTTGGGTTCAAAGAAGGCTGGGGGAGGGGCAAGATTGCCATCTTTGTCTAGAGACTGAGTATGGTCACAGGGACAGACCTAGTTTCCCAGACCAGTTTGTCCCTACACTTACGGTGACCCTTGTTGGGACATGTCCTAGGCCTAGTCCCTATATTAGCTTCCTCATTTGGAGAACAGGGTTTGGCAGGAGAGGGGTACCCAGTGGTGCCTGATGCTTCATGTTCCATGGGACCTGCCCCCCCAGATGTCAACGATCTATTGAAGTTTATTCGACCGCTGCATGAAGGCACTCTGGTGTTTGTGGCATCCTACGACGATCCAGCAACCAAGTAAGTGTTGACGAGGCCGGCCTCAGCCTTGCCTTTCTCCAATGACAGCTTACACTTTTCCCTTCTGTGCCACAGGATGAATGAAGAGACCAGAAAGCTTTTCAGCGAGCTGGGCAGCAGGAATGCCAAGGAGCTGGCCTTCCGAGACAGCTGGGTGTTTGTGGGAGCCAAGGGTGTACAGAACAAGAGCCCCTTTGAGCAGGTACAGTGCAGAGTGGGGCAGCATTCCGCCTCTTCTTCTCAGATCCCACCAGGTCCCCTCTGTTCATGCCATAGCCTTCCCTGAATTCTGCCCCAGATGTGTCTCATCATTTCCATCCTGATTGCCCTGGCCCCCTTGCCATCTGTGTAGGAAGGGGAAGTAACTTTGACCTTCCCTGTCCAGTATGTATTTTACCCTCAAAGAGTCTTTACACAGCAGCGTTTTCACATTAGCAAGATTCACATCTGAAATGCCTTCCTCCCAAACAGCCTCAGGGTACTCAGTCCATCCTGACCCTCCAGAAATCCAGTATCCCTGATTCACACTTTTTGTACTTGTCCTGCCAGCCTTGGCTGCCCTCTGGGCCCAAAGGTGTCATACCCTGTGCTAGGAGGGCTCTACCCTCACTTTTAGGAAGCTCCCAGTCCCAGGAAAGCCACAGTACCCCCAACTCCTGATTTCCACTACACACAGATGGGCTGCTCCAGTGGTTTCTGGAAGTCTCTGGCTATCAGAAAAGCAGTTCAAATGCCACCCTTTCAAAAAACATCCCCTCTGCCTGTGTTCTTGCTGTAGCTTCCAACAGCTCCCTGCAGGTCAAGTGAGGGTGAGGGACCCCCTGTCCCCCCCACACATACTGCCTACCTTCTTGGCACATGCCTGCCCACATAAGTGCAAAGAAATTGATCCCTTAGTCCACCTACAAGGGGATAGTGTTGTGGTTGTCATTTTTTCCTGGAGCAAGCAAGGGGGTGAGTACCCCAAGAGTGCACAGTGGTTGACATGACATAAGGGGAATGAAAGCCTAGGCCCTGGCCTGCCACTGTCTCCCATCTTTGAGGACTGAGGCCATGACCTGCTCTCCTGGCCCACAGCACGTGAAGAACAGTAAACACACCAACAAGTACGAAGGCTGGCCCGAGGCTCTGGAGATGGAAGGCTGCATCCCACGGAGGAGCACGGCCAGCTAGCATAGCTGGGCACCAACACCAGCCCAAGGGAGGCGTGTGCACTGCTCAGCAGGTGGGAGGTGGTACCACCAGGGCAGGGCCAGGGTCTACTCCCCACCCCTGGGAAAGAGCACTCCCTTGCCCCAACACATGGGGCTCCAAGGCGCTGACCAGAGTGTGGCCTCAAGGTGGTGAGGCCTGCAGGGGCCGGCTGCATCGTGCTTTGTCATAGGAGCCCAGGTGCCCTGTGTCTTTCTTTGCCTAACACTGTTCCTCCTGGCTAGCCCCCACCTAGCCCATTCCTCCTCTGTTCCCCACAGCATCTCCTTCCCAGTTTCCAAGTGCCCTGGCTGGAAGGGTCTTTGGTATTCACCCTCTTTACGTACAAGTCAGGTAGCAGCCATCTGGCCAGTTGGTGCATCTTCCAGAACCTCTCGCAGAGGTATTCACTCCACTGCAGGCTGAACCTGTTTTCAGTGTGATTCCTTTGGGTGAGACAAACTGTCAGCCACGCCGTGAATGTAGCTGCCTCCTGCCTGCTCTCAACAGGAAGGGGCCCCCTGTGGAGCAGGCTGGCCTAGGGTGAGTGTAGCCAGAGCCTGATCACAGTCCCTATGGCAGCGTGTGGCAGCTCCTGTGGCTTGTCAGAGGGCCTACCTTCTAGATGTTTTCTTAATAAATTGATGCCCCCCCCAATGGAATAAAGTGCATTCAGATGTTGTCATCAGTGGACAGGCAGAGGTGGTGGTGACCTCCAGGGTTGGGGTGAGGAGACTAGTCCTGCAGGCTTAGCCAACCTGCCCCATGGCCTTAGTCTCCAGGGCTCCTGTCCCCACAGACTGTGTCTGAGATGTGACTCCAGTGGTGACTAGTGAGTTCCCCAGCTGATACAACCCTAGCTTTGGGAGAGAAGGTTTTATAGTCTAGGGTCCCAGGTGCCTCCCCTTCACCCTCTGTCTCCTTCAAAAGCTAGTGTGTCTCTCACAATCTTTGGCTACCTTTGAAATCAGAGCTGCAAAGAGTCAAGTCATGTGGGCTATTTGGCATTTTGAAGATGGAAGGAACTAAGGCATCATGGTAGTCTGAGGTGCCAGCCAGAAATCCTCTGGGTGGCTGTGTCAGGGGTAATAGACTTTTTTTTTTTTTT